CGACAGACCTGTCCCCACCAGTACTGTACCCCAGTGTTATACAGCGATAGACCTGTCCCCCACCGGTACTGTACCCCAGTGTTATACAGTGACAGACCTGTCCCCACCCGTACTGTACCCCAGTGTAATACAGCGACAGACCTGTCCCCACCGGTACAGTACCCCAGTGTTATACAGTGACAGACCTGTCCCCACCGGTACTGTACCCCAGTGTAATACAGCGACAGACCTGTCCCCACCGGTACTGTTACCCCAGTGTTATACAGCGACAGATATTCCATTTATTTAACGTTTTAACAAACATTTGTCATGTAAGAATTTTCCTTGTTACTTTTTGAACCCTCATATTCTTTGCTGTTTGTATTAATTTGATCCATGGTCCCTTGTAGGTGTAAAGTTGGAGGGTGAATCCGACAGCATATGTGGGGTTTATGAGTTTGATGGAGTAACGTTCAGGGTGGTTCGAGGTGACTACTGGCCTTTAATGAAGAGGGTGGTGGAGAATCTGGAGAAAGCCAAGGTGAGGACTTGACTGACTGTAGTGTCACTGGGAAGAATATACAGAAAAATCTCGCTTTGTACGTGCGAAAATTGCTTCCCCGCATTGAGTGTTTTTCCTTTTTAGATGCCCAATGTTAGCAAAAAGCTTCTCATTTTTAGACACAGTAGTTGTCAGAAGTTTGGTAAGATCTGCAAATGCTGTGTCACAGTCATTGCCACGCTGCCATCGACACTAGCCAAACTATTACCCATTAGAGAATCGACTCCCTCAATCGGTAGACTAGGAACAAGTCCCGCACTCGGGTTAGGCGATGGCCTAGCGGTGTTATCGTTAGACTAGTAATCCAGAAACCCAGCTACAGTCCTGGGTTCAAATCCCAACACGGCAGATGGTGGAATTTGAATTCAATAAAAACAAAAGTCCAGAACTGAGACTCTACTGTTCACCATTGTCGATTGTCAGGAAAAACCCATCTGGTTCGCTAATGTCCTTCAGGGAAGGAAACTGCCATCCTTACCTGGTCTGGGCCTACATGTGACTCCAGTCCCACAGCAATATGGGTTGACTCTCAACTGCCCTCTGAAATGGCCAAGCAAGTCAATCAGTTGTACCAATCGCTACAAAGTCCCAAAGGAATAAAACTGGACGGATCACCTGGCATCGACTAGGCACCGGAAAAGACAATGGCAGAAACAGCCCTGTCGACCCTGTAAAGTCCTCCTCACTAACATTTGGGGGCTAGTGCCAAAATTGGGAGAGCTGTCTCACAGACTAGTCAAGCAACAGCCTGACATAGTCATACTCACAGAATCATACCTTACAGGCAATGTCCCAGACACCACCATCACCGTCCCTGGATATGTCCTGTCCCAACAGCAGGACAGACCCAGCAGAGGGGGTGGCACAGTGGTATACAGTAGGAGGGAGTTACTGTAGGTGTCCTTGACATTGACTGTGGACCCCATGAAGTCTTGTGAGCAAGGAAACCTGCTGATCACCACATACAGTCCTCCCTCAGCTGATGAATCAGTACCTCCTCCATGTTAAACAACACTTGGAGAAAGCACGGAGGATGGCAAGGGCACAAAGTATACTCTGGGTGGGGGGTTTCAATGTCCACCACCAAGAGTGGCTCGGCAGCAGTAATACTGATCGAGCCAGGTTTGTTGGAAGAATGAGAGTGAATGCTTCTCCCTTGGAGTCAAAACATCTACAAAGTCCAGTTGCTTGACTGCAGCCGTATTCAAGGAAGAATCTCCTTGGGTATCCTTGCAATAGATATTCCCACATTCCTGTTCTAATGGGTGCTAAGATCACATGTTTGACTTGAACCATTTTTTGTACCATGCTGCTTTATTGTTCCATTTCCAGCTGTCCACATGTAGATGTCCCATCTTGTTGCAAAGGAGACATATTAGCTGTGAAGACATCAATCCTACTTTCTTTTTGACCTAAGGAGGATGTCCCTTTGCATTCCTAACTGTACCTTCTTGCTGGTTGTTATGGACCAGACCAGAACCCCCTCAAAATATATTAAGAAGGTAGCCTAGACTCTAACTTTTTCTTATTTTTAAAGGTGAATGTGAGGCGCAGTGTTCCAGATGTGATTCAATTGGTCAAACTACTTGCCGTTAAGCGAAACACAATTCATTCAAACACGATAGTTAAAATACAACAAAAGAAAGAGGAACTTGGAACAACTTAACTCTATATAGGAAAACTTAAGAGTAATAGATACAGTGACTATTACTAATTAACTGTCCCAATACAGTAACGTCCCATAAACACACCCATGGCACAATGTCAAATTCAGGAGACAGATTTTGTCTCATATGCAATCCAGCAGCTCAGGAAGAGACCGAGACCACCCCCACCCCACCCCACCCCAACGTTTTGGCTGTAATCAAGAGGTGGGGGGGGGTGGGGGGGGAAATAGCTTCCACTTCTTCCAGACCCCAATAGCAACTGCTGTTGAAATCTAAAAGTCCCTGGTTCTCTGGGTGGGAGCTTGACCACACCCATTCAGGCTGCTTCTATTGTTCCAACTTTTTTTTAAAAACATACACAAAGTGTTTATCTTTTTATAGACTGCTCGGCATCTGAACCCCAAACGCTCTCTAAGAAATGTGTTTTGTCCTGGTTTCTTTTAAAGCCACTGCATCGTCATACCAGTGGCCATTCACCATCCTTTCACTTCCTTCTCTCCATCCTTCTTGGGTTTGTGGGTGTGACAGGAAAGGGGGGGGCGGGCGGGCTTATGGAGAAGCATGAGATCGTCACTCCCCTTGGCTACCTGCCTGACTTTCAAACCTTTAGGTTGGCCATGGGTGTCCTTGTGGAGGGTTTTGTACATGGTACCCACTATAACTGCCCGCTGTAAAGGTCAAAGCCAAGCTATTTAACCCACTCCTCATTCTTGCAAATCGGCTTAGGCCACGTTTGGAACTTTTAAAATTCCCGCTCAAGGGAGCAGCCCAACATACTTGCCCACCTCGTATTCCGTGGAAGTTTCCTCCGAAAACGTGGAATGAACTTTGTGAGGTTTGCCAGTCAGCCTGCTGTGGGTCAGCAGGCTAGAAATTTGCTGTGTGAATTTTCCAAACACATTGAAAAACAGCTCTACGGTTGTCATAATGCTGCATTCCATTCTTACATAAGTAATACAACGTCACACTTACTAATACCTTAGCTGAGGTTTGAAAAATAAATGAGCAAAGTATGCACCTTTGTATAAAGTAATCAGCAAAATATTGCTCAGTAATGTTACTTTTTTTAACTTTTTCTCTGAATGTGTTCTGGGCACAACAGCCTGTTCCTCAGACTATTTCTGAGCTCCAAAGTTCCACTTTGGCCACACCAAATCATGATTTTTTTTAAAAAATTCATTAATGGAATATGAGCATCACTGGCTAGGCAGCATTTATTGCCCAGAGGGCAGTTAAGAGTCAACCACATTACTGTGGGTCTCGAGTCACGTGTAGGCCAGACCAGGTGGGTTTTTCCTGACCATCAACAGTGGTTTCATGGTCATTATTAGACTTTTATTGCATTAAATTCCACCATCTGCCGTGGTGGGATTTGAACCTGGGTCTCTGGTTTGACAGTCCAGTGATTATACCACTAGGCCACTGCCTGCTTGTGCCTCTTGGTCATTCAGTGTTGCTTCCTGCTTCACATTTCCCACAGAGAAACACTGTCTACCTGACAGTGATGTCTCTACACCATGTCTTAGTGTGAGTTCTTTCGTTTTTCATACAAGCTCAGGCCAGACTTCTCAGTAAGCTCAAATAATGTCTATTAATATTATGTACGTGTTGGTAAGGCTACAGAGCAGCATGCTGTGAGCTGTACCAGTTCCTATCTTCTAGCAGAGTCCTAAGGTCTTTAGTGCGTCGTAAAATATGCCAGAAGCTCATCTGTACCTGCCCAGTGTCAAACGTTCCCTAGACAGGCAATCAATCTCTCCCACTCACCTTGCAACTGCTTATCTCGACAGGACTATGCAGCCTCTCCCAATGTAGTGAAGATGCTGGAGCAGTACATCCAGAGCTTCACCACCGGCTCCATTGATGCTCATAAGGAGGGCTCCAAGCACTGGATCAAAGATGTGGGGCCCATCGTAGAGAGGTGAGCTGTTGCCTGCTGATGTCACATGGCCCCCTGACTGTGCCCCTTGGTGGGCACCTGCCCAGTGTATGCCATCCTACATCTACTGATGTGTGTATACACACACACACAGACAGACAGACCCACGCGCGCACGAGACAGACAGATGGGCACACAGGCACAGACACCACCAATCTCTGCTTTGATGTGCTTTTGGCTGTGTAAGGTAGGCTGTTCAACTGGGGCAAGCTCCACTGGCGCCATTTTGTATCAGTATCTCTGACTGGGACTGGTGCAGGGAGGAGGGAGAATGAGGCTGGTAGTGGAGAAACCAACAGAGAGAAATGATAGAGTCAGGCCAACAATGAAGACACAAGGCAGTAGGGAGCTGTGGAGCAGTCATTGTCATCCAACTAATAGTTACGGTTTGATTCCACAGCTACATCGGCTTCATCGAAAGTTATCGAGACCCTTATGGATCGCGAGGGGAGTTTGAAGGTAACATTGTGAGCTGTAGAGCTCCCTTCCTTGCCTGGGCTACATTGTGTGGGATCAGCACGGCACAGAACCTGCCTTTGGTTCAGTCAGTGATGGAGTAATATCCATGGTTTCGGGTACATCCACAAGGTCAGTGATTGGCCTTCCGTTTGCAAGAATCTGTTGACCCCTGAGCAAGAACTGCTAGCACCAAAAACTGAAGGAAAAGTTATTTAAATAATTAAGAACTGGTTTGACCTGAAGTGATACCGGGCTAGGAGGTTACACCACACCCATTGATGGTTTCTTCCTTTCTTTTGCCCTGGTTTCCTGCTGTGGTCATAGTTCCAGTTCTCCATCTTGGATGTCTAACAAGATTAGGTTCTCTGGAGATGTAGTTCCATTTCTCTCCCCCACCTCTTGTTCTCCAGTAGTAGTGACTCACCGAGAAGAGAACTGCTGTGGGTTTGATCACCGCTCCATATTCAGCCCACACCGAGGGAGCGCCGCACTGTCGGGGGGTCAGCGCCGAGGGAGCGCCGCTCCGTCGGGGAGTCGGCGCCGAGGTAGCACCACGCTGTCAGTGGGGTCGGCGCTGAGGGAGCACCACGCTGTTGGGGGTGCCATCCTTCTGATGAGACATTAAACAGAGACCCCATCTGCCACCTTGGGGTGTTTCAGGACATGGAGGAGATGCAAAACATCCCACGGCCACTATTGGAAGAAGAGCAGGAGGGTAGTTCTCGCTGGGGTCCTGGGGCCAAAGATTATCCCTCAACCAACATCACAAAAAACAAGTGATCTGTGTCACTCTCGTGCTGCTGTGCGTGGGAGCTTGCTGCGTACAAATTGGCTCCTCCATTTCCTACATTTACAGTAGACACTGTACTTCAAAAAGGAAGTAGTTTCTCAGCTGTGGGACACCCTGACATGGTGAAGGATCCTGGAGGAAGGGGAATCTGTCTAGGTTTGTGCTCGGACCATTGTGCTGTTTGCTGGTGTGAAACGTCGGGGTGGGGGTGGTGTGGGGTGATGGTAGCCCAGATGTTGGCCCTCCTCAGGAACTGGGTGATAAAATCTCGATGGGCTGTCCTACGATCTGACGGTGAATGCTGTTTAACATGAGCTAGTATGCTGGCGGTTCAGTTTAACTGAGTCGGTGTTTTATTCCCCCTCCCCGTCCCTCCAGGTTTTGTGGCTGTGGTCAACAAGGACATGAGCGCCAAATTCTCCCAGCTGGTGGCTTCAGCTGAACGGCTGCTCCCAGAACTGCCCTGGCCCAAGGAGTTTGAGAAGGATCGCTTCCTCAAACCGGACTTCACTTCGCTCGACGTGCTGACCTTCGCGGGCAGTGGCATTCCGGCTGGCATCAACATCCCAAACTGTAAGCAGCCTCTTGTTCCTCACATGCCTCCCGGCACTCCCCCGCATACATATCCGCCACCTCCCAGTCGGAAGGTCCAGGCCCATTCCTGGGACGGATGTGTTCCCCTTACCTGAAAAGTTTGTACTTAAAGCCACAGGAGTCTCAAAGAAAGAGGGGTGATATTATTGGAGTTTAGAAGATCCTGTGAGGACTTGATTAGAACATAAGAGCCAGGAGCAGGAGTGGGCCATCTGTCCCCTCCAGCCTGCTCCACCATTCAGTACAATCATGGCTGATCCTTTCGTGGACTAGCTCGGCGAGCAAGTCTACAACCACATCCACAACCCGAGCTACAAATCTTCTCAAAAACTTTGATAACCCTTAATTCCTTTACTGTTGAAAAATCTATCTTTCTTTGCCTTAAAAACATTCAACGAGGAAGCCTCAACTGCTTCACTGGGCAGGGAATTCTACGGATTCCCAACCCTTTGGATCAAGAAGTTCCTCCTCAGCTCAGTCCTAAATCTGGTCCCCTCTTTACTTTGAGGCTATGCCCCCTCGTTCTAGTTTCACCCGTCAGTGGGAACAACCTCCCTGCTTCTACCTTCTCTATTCCCTTCATAATTTTATACGTTTCTATAAGATCTCCCCTCATTCTTCTAAATTCCAATGAATATGGTCTCAGTCTACTCAATCTGTCCTCATAAGCCAATCCTTTCAACTCTGGAACTAACCTGGTGAACCTCCTCTGCAACCCCTTCCAGTGCCAGTCCATCTTTTCTCAAGTAAGGAGACCAAAACTGTACACAGTGACTCCAGGTGTGGCCTCACCAGCTCCCTATACAGTTGCTGCATAACCTCCCTGTTATTAAACTCCATCTCTCTGGCAATGAAGGACAAAACTAGAGAGGATACTGAGAAGAAATTGATTCTAAATTGGTTCTGGTTTGTTAAGGGGATCAAAGTTACAGGGAGAAGACGGAAGAATGGAGCTGAGGAACTTAACAGCCATGATTGAATGGCGGCACAGACTCGATGGGCTGAATGGCCTAGTTGCTGCTCCTACGTCTTGCATTCCATGTTACAAGGGCGAGGGTACAATTCCGACATACAGATTAAAGTAACAGGGCTCCCTTTTAAGACTGGAGAGTTTTATTCGGAGTCATGATGCTGCAGATTTCCCTTCCTCAGTGGGCGATGGAGGCTGGGTCATTGAATTTATTCGGGACTAAGGAAGACAGCTTTTTGAATGAGGGAGTGGAGGGATGTGCAATTGACAGCATCGTAGGACCAGTCACCATCTTATTGAATGGTGGAGCAGTCTCCAAGGGACTGCCTGGTGATTTTTGAAGGCAGCAATTCCTGTCTGGATTGCGGGAACTGGCCCAACTGGATGTTGGGACTGTATTCCAGAACACGGTGTGTCTCTGGGTGTGAGGAGTAGAGACAGTTCGAACCTTGAAGCCCAACAGAAAGGAACGCGGTAACTTCAGCAGCAGAGCTTGTAGGGTTAATTATCCCGCATTAAAAAAAAAAAAAAAATCTGTTTCAAGTATTGAAATTGTCCCCCAAGGTTTGACTGCTTTCTGTGGGAGTAACTGGGAGGGGTGGCACAGTGGCTCAGTGGTGTTAGCACTGATGCCTTGGGTCCCAGTTCCAGGGACCCGGGTTCGATTCCACCCTCTGGCAACTGTCTGTGTGGAGTTTTCACGTTCTCCCCGTGTCTGCGTGGGGTTTCCTCCCGCAGTCCAAAGATGTGCAGGTTAGGGTAGAACAGTCGTGGGAAATTGTCCCACAGTGTCCAGGGATGTGCAGGCTGGGTGGGTTAGCCACGGGACATGCAGGGTGACAGGGATAGGGTAGGGGGTTGGTCTGGGCGGGCTGCTCTTCAGATGGTCAGTATGGACTCGAGGGGCCGAATGGCCTACTTCCACCCTGCACAGATTCTGAGTTGCCGATCTCCTCCTCCTCCTCCACCCCCAACCCCAAAAAAAACAAAAGCATCAGAAGTCATTCCTGACATCATGGTCTGGCTAAAGTCTGAATCTTTTGTCCCTTGTTCTGGAGACCCCCAGCCATCACCACAAAGGAAATACCTCCACTCTACCCGATCGGATCCTTTAAACAACTTAATACCCAGCCCCAATTACACCACCCCTTCATTTCTGACACTCGAGCCTTGTTCTCTCCCATGATGATGCACTCGCAAAGATTATTTCCCAGCAAACGAAGACCCCGCTGAGTCGAGCTCATTGGGTGACTGTGGCGAAATAGGCCACGCTCCCTCCCTGTGTCTCCCCCGCTCGGCCGAGTTTTTTTTAACCCGCGTCCTGTTTCTTTTCCGAAACTTCCAGACGACGATATTCGGCAGACGGTAGGGTTCAAAAACGTTTCGCTGGGTAACGTTCTGGCAGTGGCCTACTCCACGCAGAAGGAGAAGCTGACTTTCTTAGAGGAGGGAGATAAGGTAGGTGTGCCTGCACTGGTGCCCCTTCTGTATTCAACTGAGTGCTGTGTGTGTGATGGATGATTTGTAGGGAGCAGGAGGGGATGGACCCAGCTTTCACGATTCAGCCTTTTACAATATTCGGTCACGGTGTGGAGGTGCCACTATCGGGCTGGGAGTGGACAAAGTCAGAAGTCACGTGATACCGAAGCGCTCCGAAAGCTTGTGTGATTTCTAATAAAACCTGTTGGACTATAACCTGGTGTCGTGTTACTTGTGACAGTATTGGATCATACCGCAGCTGGACTGCTTTTTAACTTGGCATCTACCCTGCTTGGTTCCACGACCCTTAATTGCCCCTTTGCCAGCAATCTGTCCCCTCCGCCTCTTCAGTAGTCTTTGTGGGAACTGTGAAGAGATTTTCAGATTCCCATTCCACCACCCCCCCCATATGCTGTGAGGGAATCCTTCCTGTCATCACCCACATCACCCACGGAACGGCCTGGCACAAGTTTAAAGCTCGTGAGCCCTTATTCCGAGGCGGTACCCCAGCTGAGGAAATGCCGCTAAGCCACATGTGAGGTTAAACTCAGGCCACCACCTGTGTCTTTGGGGAAGTGCCAAAGAGCCTGCTATCGGAAGGGGATCAGCGGGGAGTTTTCCCCGGGGTCGGGGGGGTGCACGAGACCAACAGTCACCAGAAAACAGATGGTCCGGGTCGTTCTCGCGTTGCCGTATGTGGGACCGTGGAGATACCCTGCACGGTTTGTTCACCTCAGATCAGGGGAGGCTGAGAGCAGGACTGATTGAAGTGGGTGACGTCGTGAGGGGTGTGAGCTGGGGGGGAGAAGGAACACGTTCCCTCTGGCTGAAAATTCGCTAACCGAGGGCGGGGCTGCATGGGTTTAGGGTGAGATTCATAGACTCCCTGCAGTGTGGAAGCTGGCCTATCAGTCCACACTGACCTCTGCAGACATTCCCACCCAGACTCCACATCCCTACCCTATCCCTGTAACCCTGCATTTCCTGTGGCTTACCAACCCAGTGTGCACATCCCTGGACACTATGGGGTAATTTAGCACGGCCAATCCACCCTAACCCGCACATCTTTGGACTGTGGGAGGAAACTGGAGGAAACCCACACAAACACGGGGAGAATGTGCAAACTCCACACAGACGGTCACCCGAGTGTGGAATCAAACCTGGGTCCCTGGTGCTGTGAGGCAGCAGTGCTAACCACTGAGCCTCCTATTTTAAAGACTGATCCGGGAGGTCCCGAGGGTTTGTGGATCACACTGAAACGATACAGGAATTGATGGTGATTTCCTCTTGTTACTTTCCTTTGGCAGGATCTGTACATCAAATGGAGGAGCCCATCTTTCGAGGTTCAGGTTGGCCTGCACGAGCTCCTCGGTCATGGCAGTGGGAAACTGTTTGTTCAGGTTTGTTGTTGTCTTTGGTGTGTTCCGAAGGGGCACGCGGGAGAGGGCATCAGCGTGGGTCTTCAGCTGTTGGAATTGTTTTGTGATGGGGTTGGAGTGAAGAGTGTCACATTGGCATTCTGTCATGGGGAGCAGATGCTGCCTTATCTCCTGCTCCACGGTGGGGCTGACGCTGGGACCTTACAGTAATCATTGTCCCTTTTCCTTTCTCTCTGTATCATCCCACCCCATTCTCCGTCCAAACTCAGGACAAGCATGGAAAGTTCAACTTTGAGCCTAATCTGGTGAACCCTGAGACCGGAGAGACGGTGAGTCCTTGGGGAGGGGGTAGGGAAGGGGTTTGGGGGTGGTGGGGTTGCCGCTGTTAAGGAGGGATCACGCACTTCCACCTCACCCCTAGGCAGCACCTTCCAAATCTTAAGCAAACTGTGTGTATACGTTCTTCAAAAAAAATAATGATTCCTCGGTGTAAGCCTTTTGGATTTTTCAAATGCTCGTTTGTTTGTGGGATGCGTGCGTAGCTGGCTTTATTGCCCCTTGAAGCTGGTGGTGATCATCTTCAAACGCTAATTGGCCCTTCTATTGCTTCCTCTGCTTTGTGTTTTTCCGGCTTCCCTCTTAACTGCTGCTGTTCACCTCCCTGTGCCGGCGAGCACCATGCCGTTCACGCAACGCATCCCCGTGCGGTTTGTCACAATGCGGTGGGCTTCCCTGACTAAGTAGCAGTCGGGTTTCTGTGTTTGTCCCCCTGCCCAGGTACAAAGCTGGTACAAGCACGGCGAGACCTGGGACAGCAAGTTCTCCACAGTTGCGTCCAGCTACGAGGAATGTCGGGCAGAGTGCGTGGGCATGTATCTCTGCCTCAACAGGGAGGTGTTGAAGTAAGTCTTGGGCTGAACCATTTCACTGCATCGGTAACAGAGAACCCCAGGCTAATGCTCAAGAGACATGGTGCCAATCCCGCCACGGCACGTTTTCAATTTTAAAATGGTCACCATTGCCAATTGTTGTAAAAATCCATCTCGGTCATTGATACCCTTCTGTGATTTTTACGTTTTTAAAAAGATCCTTTACTATTTCATAGAATCCCTACAAGTGTGGAAACAGGCCCTTCGGCCCAACAAGTCCACACCGACCCTCAGAGCACCCACCCAAACCTATCCTCCTATAACCCACCTAATCTACACGTCCCTGGGCACTACGGGACAATTTAGTGCGGCCAATCCACCCTAACCTGCAAGTCCCTGGGCACTATGGGACAATTTAGTGCGGCCAATCCACCCTAACCTGCAAGTCCCTGGACTGTGGGAGGAAGCCGGAGCACCTGGAGGAAACCCACACAGACATGGGGAGAGTGTGCAAACTTCACACAGACAGTCTCCCGAGGGTGGAATTGAACCTGGGTCCCTGGTGCTGTGAGGCAGCAGTGCGAACCACTGAGCCAGCGTGCCATCCCCCACTATCTTATCCCCATGCTGCAAGAAGCCCCAAGGAGAGAATCTGGTAACCCGAATAGACACTCTGTTCCCTCCTCACATTACAACACTGAGCAGTTACTGTGTGCTTCCAGGCCCTATGCCTTAAGGCTATATTGGTCTTGGAGGGTGTGCAATGTAGGTTCATGAGAATGGGACTGGACTGCTGCACTTCAATAGGAGGGAAGCTTACTCAAACTGGAACTGTGTTCTCTGGAAATGCGAGGGTTCAGGCGTGATTTGATCAAAGGTATGTGCCATTTCCTGGGAACAGATGAGGTTAGGAGAAAGAAACTGCACCTGCCTGGGGAGTCTTGGACCAGGGCAGATTGGGACGTCTTTCAGGAGCTAAGAAATTAAGAAACAGTGTCCCGCACAAGTTGGGAGGACAGGAGTTCCAAATGCTGCTCAGAACACGGCGATTGATTCTCAATCCAAGTGAGCAATCAATTAATTTTTGTAAACAGAAGGCATTGAGGGATATGAGACAACAGTGCACAGATGCAGTTGGGTCACAGTTTGATAGAATTGCAGAACAGGTGTGAAGGTCTGAATAGACATTACCTGTTTGGAAGCTAAAATGCGCTCGTGTGTGTGTATGTGTGTATGTTTTGTACGTACTCCCCTGGGGACGGCTTTATCCCCTGCAGGATATTCGGCCATGAGGGCACAGATGCTGATGACGTTATCTACGTGAACTGGCTGACAATGGTTCGAGCGGGAGTCCTGGGTTTGGAGTTCTATACTCCAGAGAGCCAGCAATGGAGACAGGTGAGAGACTGAGACCCCATACCATTCATTGCCCCAGCTCCTGAACTAAATCTGAATCCACTCCCTGTTTCATACCTTTCTGCTTTAAGCAGGAAAAATAAAACTGAGCCGGTGTTGTACTGAGGTGCATTCATCTTTGCTAATTCATGTTAGCACTACAGAGGCAGTGTCAATATCGAGGGAGGGCCAGCGCTGGGGGAGCACCGCGCTGTGGGAGGGCCAGCGCTGGGGGAGCGCCGCGCTGTGGGAGGGCCAGCGCTGGGAGAGCGCATCAGATTTCACTCTCGACCACTGCCTATTTCTGTCACAGGCCCACATGCAGGCCCGTTTTGTCATTCTGCGGGTTCTCCTGGAAGCTGGCCAGGGGTTTGTCACCATCCGACAAACCACGGGGACAGACGGCAAACCTGACGCTATCATCACTCTCGACCGAAGCAAGATCTCCACTGTCGGCAAGACTGCCATCGAGGAATTCCTCAGGAAGCTGCAGGTACAGGGGGAGAAGGCTCTGTAGGGACACGAAGAGGAATGCTGACCAAGATCCTGCAGAATAACCCTGCACGATTGAGCTTGCTCGCTTGCTTTCCCTGCTGGCGCCCTGTGAGGCGCTCTCTCACGCTCTGGTAACCCTGTCTCATTCCCCCGTGCACTCGCATTCTCTGCAAGCTGTCCTCTCAGTCTGCTCTCTCTGTCTCGCTCACCCCGTCACACCCTCTCTCTCTCTCTCTCTCTCTCTCTCTCTGTCTCGCTCACCCCGTC